TCGGGCTCTGTGCTGACAACACACAGCCTACTTTGGATTCTCTCTTCCTCTCTCTCTGCCCCTCCCCGACTCACAAGCGCACTCTCTCTCAAAATAAATAAATAAACATGAAACAAGATTTTTAAAAAGATGGCAGAATTAGATTCAGTTTATACATCTAGAAGCACAGTGACACGTCCATTAGAGAATCCAAAGTTGATTAAAAGTAAGAACTAACATTTACTGAATGCCTACTATTTACCAGGCTCTGTGCTAAGACCTTCGTGTTTACTTCATTTACTTCTCAGATCAGCCTATGCAATTGGTGCTGTTCTCTTCCGCCTTTAGAGATGGAAGGGCTGAGGCAGAAAGATGTCAAATCTAAGGTCATACTGTGGTAGGTTACAGAACCAAAACAGAAACCCAGAGACTCAGACTTTAGGAGACAGAGGGGAACATACATTAAGGAGATAGCATTCCAGAATATAGTCTATTATCATATATAAGGGGTAAGGGAGGGGTAGTAGGCTCATATGACCCCTAGGCTTGTAGCTTGGATGACTGAATATATGGCAGTGTAGATTATTCTGTATGAGATGGCACAAATTTAGAAGAAAAGCTAATCAAGCATTTTGAATATATTTGTTTTTATATGCCTATTGGAAACCTGGAAAGCAGATGGACATACAGGTTGGATTTCAGGGGAGGGCTGGAGTGGGAGATGCAGATTTGGAACAGAGGAGGAGAGGTCATAGGGTAAACAAGATCAAATTCAAGAGAAGAGTGCTATTGGTTGAATTGTGTCCCCCTAGAAGATGTTGAAGTCCTGACATCCTCTACGTGAGCATGTGATCTTATTTGAAAACACTACAAGGTTTTGCAGATGATCAAGTTAAGATGAGGTCATTAGGGTGGGTCCTAATCCAATACGACTGCGCGTTTATAAAAAGGAGAAATTCCAACTGAGACATGGAGGAGACCATGTGAGGAGACCATCACCATGTGATGAAAGCAGAGAGTGGGGTGATGCATCCACAATCCAAGGAACACCACAGAGTTCCAGCAGACCACCAGAAACTAAGGGAGAGGCAGGCAACAGAGTCTTCTTCACAGTCTCAGAAGGAACCAACCCTACCAACAGCTTGATCTTGGCTTTCTAGCCTCCAGAACTGGGAGACAATACATTTCTGTGGTTTAAGCTACCAGTTTGTGGGACTTTGTTAAAGCCCTAAGGAAGTAATACACACAGGGAGAGCACGGGAGAGTGAGTGATTATTGGTGATCGCCGGACAGATCTGGTCAGTTCAAAAATGAGTTTGCCAGTCCATGAAGCAAGAAAGGCACTCCAAGAAAAGGATGAGCTTGTGCAAAGCACATGGAAATCTGAGAAAGGGGGTGCCAGCGCATTGCACCAGGCTAATCACAAGCAGCAGCTGTGGAGTGTTAAGAACACAGGGATCTGTTCATGAAAGTCCCTGTAAGCAGTGCTCTACAGACTTCATCATATACTTGATAGAGAGCAATCCGAGGCCCCAGGGAATGATTAAATCTGCTTTTGTGTTTTAAAATGCTCTTGCTCTGTAAATGCAGTGGCAGTGGCAGCATAGTTTTTGAATCTACCAAAACGATCCCATTAAAATAAGCAGAGCAAAACTGAAGTTTTATTGCAATACCCGCAATAAAGCTCAGTGCTGAGATACCCCCGTCATTACCAAGGGACAAATTCGGGACAGTTCGTAAGAGCCATGTGGTATCGGCAACTATGTAGGAAGAGGCAGAGGGAAGACCTTAAGAACGGGAGAACCTCCAAATCCCCAACAGCCACTCACTGGAATATCCAATCTCACAGGAGAGGAAGAAAGGCCTAGAAGTGTGTTCTCAATGATCCAGGGCAAGGATGAGCCCAAGGGGACCATAATGCAATTAAATGTGATGCTACTGGAGCAGTCTCATTACCCACAGACTGCAGACCCTTCCAAGACAAGGCTCCACACTAAGGAGAATCTGCTGGGAATAGATTCCAACTGAGCAGGACAAGGACAGCCACCAGAAATGAACGAGAAGGCCCAGATGGAAAGGAAGGGTCACAGAAACAAAGGCAGCTGATGTCAGAAAGTTGACAAGTTCTTCCTTCGTGAGAACAGCAGAGGAATGAGCTCTGGAGCTATGAAACCAGCCAAACTATCCTGGCCCATTGACCCCTCCTAAAACTACATAAAAGCTTAAGTAACTCATTAAACTTAGCAATGAGAAAAAGATCAAAACTATTATAAGGAAATGAAAATAGGAAATATGATGATGTTCCTGCAGATAATGAAAGCATACCAGGAAAAAAAACACATGTGGAAAACAGATAAAAACCCTAAGCAAATATTTCAAAATGAGTTGAAATAAATTAACAGAATTATAAAAACTATGAAAGATGTAAATCCGAATTAGAAAAGCATCAGAAATAAATAGAAAGAAGATTTGACAAGAAAGATGATATAACCCAATATAGAATTCTCATTTTTTTTAAAAGCAGCTGAAAAATGAAAACTCAACCACAAGGAGTAAAACACTATCAAAACACCATAGTCAGCAGATAAATCGAAGGTCAAAATGAGGAAAAAATGAAATCATTAAGTAATTTGAGATTAAAAGAGTTCAGGGAAGTCGGTTGATACAGAAGATAAAGAAGATACGATATAACTAAATAGGAGTCCTCAAAGAAGGAAACCAAAGTAATGGAGAATAAATAAATAAATCTCAATACTATAAATCAAGAAGACTTGAAACTACATAATGAAGAGTGTATGTACCACATTCCAGAGAAACTTGTGCAGAATATTCAGTATCAAGATACATTTTAATAAAACTATAGTTTTTCAAAGGGAAACAAAATATTGTTTGGACATCCAAACAACAAGCTCAGGTAGTTTATAAGAGAAAGAGTATCAGATTTTTATCAGACTTCCATTACGACACTTTATGCTAGTAAACAGGAAATTAACAGATTTGATGGATTTAAATAAATAAATTGCAGATCTTGGGTCTTGTATGGAATAGGCATAGGTTTTACAGCCAAGCAAACTGACCCTCCAGTGAAAAGGTTGTCCCAGCTGTTCTGCTTTTGTACTTCGCTGCTGTATCCCTCCCATCCTCCCCTCTTGGTATCGGAGAATCTTTGCATTGGGTAGGCTCTTTCACTGACTCTAAAAATGGGCACCAATTTTCATTTCAAATTGTGAGATTTTAGGAAACTTATTCCCACACAAGGCAAGATTCATAGGCACATGCTGTTGTAAATATGCAAGAACTCAAACACTATTGTCCCTATGCACCCTTCTTGAGTGATCTACTAGAGAATAAGCTTCAGTGAACCAAACATACTGCAAAGACATTGATCTAACAGCTGGAGAAGTATTCTAGCCAACAACAACAACAACAAACAACAACAAAATTACAGTGATATGAAGAGCCAAGGCAACCTTGAGAATGAAAAGCAAAACTGAAGGCATCATGATTCTGGACTTCAAGTTATATTACAAAGGTGTAGTCAAGACAGTACGGTACTGGCACAAAAATAGACACATAGATCTATGGAACAAAATAGAAAACCCAGAAATAAACCCACAGCTATATGGCCAATTAATCTTCCACAAATCAGGAAAGAATGTGCAATGGGATAAAAAAAACAGTCTCTTCAACAATTGATGTTGGGACAATTGGACAGAAACATCCAAAAGAATGACACTGGACCACTTTCTTACACCATACACAAAGACAGATTCAAAATGGATTAAAGACCTAAATGTGAGGCGTGAAACAATAAAAATCCTACAGGAGAAGACAGGCAGTAATTAATGTCTTTGCCATTGGCCGTATCAACTTCTTTCTACCTATGTCTCTTGAGGCAAAGGAAACAAAAGCAAAAATAAACTATTGTGGCTTCATCAAAATAAAAAGCTTCTGTACGGCGAGGAAAACCATCAGCAAAACTAAAGGCAATCTACAGAATGGGAGAAGATATTTGCAAATGACGTATCTGATAAAGGGTTAGTATCCAAAATATATAAAGAACTTATAAAAGTCAATACCCAAAAAACACATAATCCAATTAAAAAAAGTGGGCAGAAGACACGAATAGCCACTTTTCCAAAGAAGACATGGAGATGGCCAATAGACACATGAAAAGATGCTCAACACCACTCATCATCAGCGAAATAAAAATCAAAACCACAATAAGATATCACCTCACACCTCTCAGAATAGCTAAAGTCAGCAACACAAGAAACAACAGGTGTTGGCAAGGATGCAGAGAAAGAGGACTTCTCTTGCACTGTCGGTGGGACTGCAAACTGGTACAGCTACTCTGGAAAATAATATGGAGGTTCCTCAAAAAGCTAAAAACAGAACTACCTTGTGATGCAGCAATTGCATTACTAGGTATTTACCCAAAGAATACGAAACTACTGATTCAAAGGGATACTTACACCCCAATGTTCATAGCAGCATTATCTACAATGGCCAAGTTATGGAAACAGCCCAAGTGTCCATTGACTGATGAATGAATAAGGAAACGGTGGTATGTTTATACAATGGAATATTACTCAGCCATTAAAAAGCATGAGATCTTCCCGTGCGCAACCATGTGGCTGGGACCAGAGAATATTATGCTAAGTGAAATAAGTCAGTCAGAGAAAGACAAATTATAAGATTTCACTCGTATGTGAAACTTAAGAAACAACCCCAAAAAATGAGCAAAGGGGAAACAAAAGAGAGAAAGAGGCAAACCAAGAAACAGACTCTTACCTATAGAGAGCAGACTAATGGTTACTAGAGGGGATGGGTTAATTAGGTGATGGGGACTAAGAAGGGCACTGGCTGTGATGAGCCCCAGCTACGTATGGAAGTGTTGAATTACTATATTGCAAACCTGAAACCAAGATTACACTGTATGTTCATTAACTGGAATTTCAATAAAAACTTAAACAATTTTTAAGGGTGATAGACTCAGATATCACCGTTGTGCAACCCTAATGAATGAAGAGTTCTTGGAAACGATCAACAGTGGACGATGGCGTCATAAAGGAGAACAGTAGGGTCTCCTCAAGAAAGTACTCAACCTCACCTGCTAAAAACGATCACACTTGAATCTAATCAACACTAACTACCTCACCGAAGAAAACAAAAAGGACAGCTATGTTAACCACACCTCATGAATGCAATCATCAAGATCAAGACAGTGAAAAATGTGCAGGAAATGAAAAAACAAGGGAAGAGGAATCCGTGGCATAAAAGAGACTTACGATACATGTCAAATAATCATCACACAGGGGTCTCATTCGGATTGTATTTCAAACAAACTATAAAGAAATTATGATAATCAGCAAAACGTGAAAACCAAGTATTTAACAATGCTAAATTATCCTTATTTGTAATGTAATAGCGGTATTGCATTTATGCATGTAAATTATCTTTAATAAAATATTTACAGATGAAATAACATGATGCCTGGGATCTGCCTCCAGATAATCTGGTGGCAGGGAGTCAGTGGAGGTATAAATGACAAATGACGTGTGTGTTGTGCATACACGTATCAACAATGGCTTGATCCGGGTGGCTCAATACACGATTTTTTTTTTCTCCTTTTGTTCATGTTTGAAATTTTCAATAATAAAACTTTCTTTAAATTTTTTTAGACATTTATTTATTTTTGAAAGACAGAGAGAGACAGAGCACGAGCAGAGGAGGGGCAGGGAGAGAGGGAGACACCGGATCCGAACAGAATCCGAAGCAGGCTCCAGGCTCTGAGCTGTCAGCCCAGAACCCGACGTGGGGCTCGAACTCACGAACCGTGAGATCGTGACCTGACCTTTGCAAGGTCGGACGCTTAACCGACCGAGCCACCCAGGCGCCCCAATAAAACGTTTTTTAAAAAGACATCAGGAGGGTTTACAAGCACATACACTTTAATACTTCAGGCTTGCGTGGAGCCCTAGGAAAAATCCGTCTCCTGAATACCATTGAGCCCATAGGGAAACTGACCGGAAAGAATGTGTGTAGATTGTCAAAGTAGCAAACCTCTTCTCCACCCACGTTTCCAACACATTTCACCCCCTCTTCATTTTGCAAGTCAGTGGAATACCTTGCACGAGCACAAAGATTGCAGTGACTTCTCAAAATGAACTTTGAAGAATAAGGGTACTTGTTCAATGGTCAACTTTGGACGTTAAATTCACAAGCCACCAAAGTCATTGTTTCACGTGTCCTTGCACATTGTGATTTGCAGAAAAGAAAAACAGCCCGGGTGTTTGAATTATAAATTGCCACTCATTTCTTTCTTATTCTCCATGTTTTCTTTCTAGATATTTCCACACCATATACTTAGGTATTCGAAGCCGGCAGAGTGGGGAGAATGACAGATGGAGGTTTTACTGGAAAATGGTATATGAGTATGCAGATGTGAGTATGCTGCATTTGCTAGCCACCTTTCTGGAAAGTGCTCCACAGCTGGTCCTGCAGCTCTGCATTATCGTACAGACTCATAGCTTACAGGCCCTCCAAGGTAAGGGCTTGCAATTTGGTTTCTGAATTTGGGGAAAGATTGGCTACTTTTGTCACAATCCGAGGAACTGTTCTTATATGCTGTGTTGACAGAGGCCACGGTCCTCCCTGTTAGAAGTCTGCTACTTGACACGAGAATTTGTGAATGATGCACATTTTCTGCTTCACAATTACTTGTTACGGCTAATTTACAGAAAGACAGTTCTGGTTTGCCTTCCAGCTGCCCTCGGAGTAGGGAAAGAGCTTGTATGATTTGACATGTGGTCAGTATGAAAATAGTCAGCGGAGTTTTTCTGTCTTGTATGGTAGAATGATTTCCAAAAATTTGGGGGGAGAACGGCCTAGCTCTCTCTCTCTCTTTCTGATGATATTTATAACATATTTGAATATTAGGGTAATCTCCATAATTTCCTTTTGACATTAAGAAACAGAGAGACAGAAAAAAAAAAAAAAA